AGACGCAATCTGCGCTTCTGCGCTTAGACGCTAACTGCACTTAGACGCAATCTGAGCTTAGACGCAAACTGCGCTTAGATGCAAACTGCGCTTAGACGCAATCTGCATTTAGACGCAAACTGCATTTAGACGCAAACTGCGTAAACTGCGCTTAGACGCAAACTATGTTTAGACGTAAACTGCACTTAATCATAAGTAATCTTAGAATCGGCTTTTGCATCAAAATAGTTTTTATCGAACGCAGCTTTCGTTTTTAATCGCTGAAAGATTTCCGCTGCACTAATTCACCCCCCCCCCCTCTTAGTGCTCTCGATCCTAACACATTTGACCTTGTGCCTTCGTCGTAATGGATTTACCTTCATGCGATTTGGGTTTTCCTGACTCACACGTCTTAGGCGCATTTGGCTTTGCACCTCCACTATAGTGGATTCTTCTTCACGTAGGTCAGTTTTTCCAACTTATGCATCTCGGGCGCATTTGGCCTTACACTTCCGTTGTAGCGGATTTCTATTCACACGAGTTGGGTTTTCCTAACTCGCGTCTCAAGCACATTTGGCCTTGTGCCTCCCCCGTAGTGGATTTACCTTCACACGACATATGTCTCGGGCACATTTGGTCTTGCATCTCCGCCACAGCGGATTTACCATTACATAGGTTGGGTTTTCCCAACTCATGTGTCTTAGGCACATTTGGCTTTACACCTCCGCCATAGCGGATTTACCTTCATGTAAGTCGAGTAATCTCGACTCACGCGTCTCGGGCGCATTTGGGTCCTCCCTTCGTCGTGATAAATTTCAGGTACTTCCGTTGTGGTAGGCTTCAAGTCATGGTAGATTTTGGGTCCTCCGGTCGTGGCAGGCTTCAAGTCCTCTCTCCATCGTGGCTGATTTCAGGTCCTCCTTTTGTTATGGTGGATTTCGAGTCCTCTTGCGATGGCGGGCTTCAAGTCCTCCCTTCGTTGTGATAGATTTTGGGTCCTCCTTCTGCCATAGTAGATTTCATATCCTCCCTTTGTCGTGATGGATTTTAGGTCCCCTCAAAGTGGCGGGCTTTAAGTCCTCCCTCTGTTGTGACGAATTCCGAGTCCTCCTGCTATGGTAGGCTTTATGTCCTCCCTCCGTCGTGGCGGGCTTCATGTCCTCCCTCCATCATGGCAGATTGCATGTTCTTCCACCATGGTGAATTTCAGGTCCTCCTGTTATGACGGTTTTCAAATCTTTTGTCCATCGAAGCGGATTTTGGGTCCTCTCGCCGTGGCAAGTTTTGGTTCCTCCCACCATGATAGGCTTCAAGTCCTCTCTCTGATGTGGTAGATTTCGAGTCCTCCTACCATGGTGGACTTCAAGTCCTCCCTCTGCTATAGCAAATTTTGGGTCCTCCCTTTATCATAGCAGATTTTTGGTCCTCTCATTATAGCGAGCTTCAAGTCCTCCCTTTGCCGTGGTGGATTTCGGATCCTCCCTCCACTATGACGGATTTTGGGTTCTCTCGCTGTGGTGGGCTTCAAATCCTCCCTCTATCGTGATGAATTTTGGTTCCTCTCATCATAGTGGGCTTCAAGTCCTCCCTCTATCATAGTAGATTTCGAGTCCTTCCGTCATGGCAGATTTCGGGTCCTCTTACTGAGGTGGGCTTTAAAGCTCCCTCAATCATAGCGGGTTTTGGGTCCTCCCTCTATCATGATAGATTTTTTTTCACATGGGGTAGGGTTTTCCTGACAGCGATAGCCGAAACTCCACGGAGAATATCAATGTCTCTTCCACGGTGAGCATAGGGTGCAGGAGGTCGTCCTGCATAATGTAAGTGGAGATCACCTCGAGGTGTCACCCCTCGAGCTTCTCATTGTTGAGGGGCGATGGGATCTTGCAGGCTCTCCCTTATGATGTGGTTCATGAGATCATCGATCAGGGTGGACTTGCCGGAGATTCACCCCTAGCACTATGAAGGTCTTCCCTTCCCTTGCCTCTCCAAAGATGGAATTCAATAGTATCTCGATCCTGGATATCACCTCTAGCAACTCGAGGCAATGGCAGGGTCGATGGTGAAAACGTTCTTGCATAAGAGTGATAGTTTTCGATGCTTGTTCATATTATATGAGAGATTGGTGAAGATGAGGACAAAAGGGATGGAGGCGGAAGGCTAAGTGGTTGTTGGCATCACCTCCGAGGGCAAAGTCATTGAGCTCGAGAACGTGGTGCTCCAAGGAGGCGTAACCATTGTTCTCAGCAACATCGCCATTGTGAGCATCATCGACGTGCTTGAAGAGCTAGCCGAGGGTGATAGACTTTCCGTTGCCGTCACCTCCGGAGTTCTAGTTGGCGTTAGCTTGGGGTTTATGGTAGTTAAGCAGGCTATCACAATCGATATCCTTGGCTTTTGATATTGGGAAGGATCGTCGATCGAACAAGAATATCTTATTCATGAGCAGGGGCATGGTATCATTTCACTATCCCTTTTTATCTTGTGGGGATCTCTTATTGGTTATCAATGCTCATGATGATTGAGCTAATGATTGCAATTGAGATGGTGGTGTTGCCTATTGGGCTAACTAAGGCACACGTGAAATAATAGTTTGCATCATGCCCATTAGCATCTGCACTTGCTAAGTGAAGTTTAAGAACACTCAGCAAGAATGAGCAGGTAGCTCGGGGTTGTCTCCGACGTTGAGAGACTTGGATCATTGAACAAGTGCCCATATCGTGTTGACGTTTGAGCCAATCGAGATGAATGCATCCACACGTGGAAATGGTGCCTGTTGCCCCCCTTGAGTGAAAGTATTGTGGGTCGAGGACAGAGTCTCTTCGCTAGAGTGTTTGCTGATAGGGTTGGTAGGCAAATATTTTTACGATATTAGACTCTCCTTCTAGTGCCAAAATATTAGGAGAAAATACTATTGATGTCTTGGTAAGCCCGACGTGGTCCGGACTCGTGTGCACAGGATTGTTCAAAGTGTTTATGATATGAAAATGTTATGCTTCTAAGGTATCACCTACTTGAAGACCGAGGTCAAGAAAGGTTTCCCGATTCAATCCCTCGTATACTCAAGTTACTAATCCGAAAACCCCAAATATGAGTTCGAGTAGTTCAAAAAGAATCTTTTGCATTTGATTTAAAATATTTTTTTATATCTTAGAGAATGAGAATATAACTTATAATTAATTTTTTTAAAAATTTATAATTAATTTTTTTATATCATAATGGTAAGAATGAAGTTGGGGATTGTCTTCTTGTTAAAATAAAAAAAAGGAAGCTTGTGATTGCTACGACATGTTTTGAATGTTGTCGGGTGACGAGCTGATGGTTTAATCTAAAAAATAGGTACTAAATAAGAAGATGTCACGAACATGTGTACTTCACGAGGCCAAAGACTCCTTTATTGGGTACAAAATGTGATGATGACATTTCGTTCTCGGCTTCTTGATGATAACATTCACGTCACTAGGAATATATTCTTAATTATTTAATGTTTTCATATGAGACAGCTTTCAAGATGGCCCGAAGAAGGGAAAGACTTGATATATATATATATATATATATATATATATATATATATATATATATATATATATATATATATATATATATATATATATATATATATACATATAGAGAGAATCCTGAAAATAATATAAAATGAAAAGAATTAGTCATTTTCATATTTAGCATTGTAATTAATATCAAATAATTTATTTATTTATTTTTTAGAGGGGGAAAAAAATTGTATTAAAAATTAAATCGAAGAGTACAAAATTCTTGTAAGATTGTAGTAACTAGTTTTTTTATGCAAAAAAAAATAGTTTACATAATAAGCATCAAAAGAATAATGATTTATCTATAATAATTTTAATATATTTTTATAGTTAACCCGAAAACGTTGATATGAAAGTAACCCAATACATGAGGGTTTCTCAATATATGGAGGGGTGCGTTGACCGCCTCTCCACCAATGAAGTCACGTGTGTCGCCTCGACACCTGCGTGGGGTCCCAACACCGCCTTCACGGGTGCAGTCACCGCCGCCCTCTCGCCCCGTCCCCGTCTCACCACCCTCTCCTCGCTTTCTCTGCTCCCAAGAAAAGAATACAACAACCGCGGGAGCCACGAGGCTCCCCCGCCCCACAAATCCATCCCCCCGAGTCGAACCATCGATCGAGAGAGGGCGAGCGAATCGGAGCGGAGCGACCCTCGTCCGTCGATGCTATGCAGTATCACGCCTACAACCGCCTGGGGAGCGGCGGGGGCGGGGGCGGCGGCGGAGGGGGGACGCCGTCTCCGCCGGCGTCACCGCGGAGGTCGCCGAGGATCCACCGGAGGGCGGGGAAGGGCGGAGGCGGGGGTAGGGCGGCGCAGGGGGCGCCGCGCACCATTGCGCAGCGGATGGCGTGGATGCTCCTCTCCTTCCTCCTCCGGCGTCAGGCCATCTTCCTCTTTGCGCCGCTATTGTACGTCGCCGCAATGCTCTTCTACATGGGCACCGTGCCCATCGACAGCGTGCCCCGCATCATCTCCCGCTCCGCCCCCGGCTCTGTCTACCGGAGCCCCAAGCTTTACGAGCGCCTCCGCCCCGTCATGGATGCCGATAACTCCTCCGACGGGGTCAGTCATTGAAGCCTAGTTAACGCTCTTCTGATTCTCCTACTCTGAATTGTTTTGGATCCGCGCCCCTTTTTCTTCTTGTATTTTCTTTGGGTTTGTCTCTTCTCGGGAGTAATAACGCTGCGGTTTCTATTTCGGATCATTTAGATTCGTGCTGTTGTCAGATTTTGCATCTTTCCTGCGAACCTAAGAGATGCCTAAGCATGAACTGATATGGAACGATCATAACCTCGCCGGTACAATTGCTTCATCGCATCTTCAATGCCCATAATTGAGTTGGAACTCTTGTCCAGATTGTAAAATGACAATGCAGCTACTCTAGATGTTTCCTGATAAAACCTAATTCATCAAGCATTGATTTCTCTCTCTCTCTCTCTCTCTCTCTCTCTCTCTCTCTCTCTTCTTTATCTATCTCTACTGTGCCAGGTTCAGCTCTATTAGATTTTTGTTCTGCCATTCATTATGCTTATGGTAGGATCCATGTGTTGTGGTACTTATGGCTATTAAAGTCGACTAGGGATCACCAGTAAAAGAATCATATGGTGTCCTTATGCAGCTGTAAAACTAGGAGCTAGAAGTTTTCACTTGAAGATGATGTTATCACGACAGTAGGCATGAAATAGCAGTTAATGTTGATGATGTATACAACATAGGCTGATCTAGGATTCCGTGATCTCCTTTCTCCACACCTGTCATCTCACCACAACAGGGACACACACACAATAGGTAAGATGCAAGAACAAAAGAACTCTAGTTAGACTTCTCTGCATCTGAAATAAAATAGTGTTGATAGTTTCTTTCTTTTGTATGCATGTTCACATACCAGAATTGAAAAGGTTTAGTTTATCTCATTGCATATCTTCAAAACTAAACATGACTTTCTTTCTCTGTCCTTTTAACTGAAGGTTGGGCTCCTGTCTACCATTTTAGCTCATCATAGTTCGATGCCAAAATTGTTGAATGGTGTCAATTTTTTTTAGTTACTAATATACTGGAGAGAAGTAATTGAGCTAAAGATTATAAATAATGCTAACTCTGTCAGAAAAACACATGATGCCAGCAAAATGAAAAACAACATGTGTTTAGGCATCCAATGGTCTACATGAAAATAATCCAAGACATTTGCAAATGAAGGGCATGTTCCAAAACGTATATTTCTAAATTGGAACCAATTGAAAGTGATGCGCTAGGAGAATAAGGATAATGTTATATCCCGGATGCACTTCAAAATACTTTTTAGGCATTGGAAGCAATTGGAAGTCAGATGTACTTGTGTTGGATTTAGCTGCACCTGTTAATACAAAGTTGATAATTATTCTCATGTCTCTCCCACCAAATAATGTTCATTCTGACAATTTAATTTTTTTCATTTTCATTTATTAATACTAGTATGGATTATGATTTTTATTGAAACTATATCCCCTTGTTGATGAAGTAACTCTTGGTAAAAAATTTCAACTAGTGACTAAAAAATATTGTATATTTTTGTAGTTAGCAACTGTGTGGAAGCACTCTTTCAAAGGTGGCGGGTGGCGACCCTGTATACACACATCTAATGATGGTACAGTTACTCATTGAATCTTTCTATTGCTCTTTTTTTCCTGGAGAATAATATCTAACTTGTTAAAGAAAATTCACTTGTGCTTTCAAAGAATAGCATAACAAATTTTATGACTCATTGATGCTCCTGATTCAGTACTTTATCTTGAAATATTATGTAGTAATTACTAAGAATTGTTTTTTAAAATGATCCTTTGATCTTAACTTTTAGATTAATATTAAAATACTTAATGGAGTTCCTTTATCCTTTAATGCCAAGATCTAATTTGAGAGATAATCATGATATTCTTTTAAGATCTATTGGTAAAGAAAAGGTGAAACTACAAAACCACTTGGAAGTATATCATTTTCTTGGACGTCTTGAGGTATTCTTTCTGGAACACATGCACTAGAAAGAGGATTATACTGTGGAATGCCCTATTGTATGAGCCATAAAAGTAATTGAACTGATTGTAACCACAAACTTATGACTTATTTAAGAACAGAAAAATATACTTGTAATCCCAGCTTAGCATTATCATGCTATGTTAACTATGTTAAGAAGTGTTAATTAGGGCCATACAATTCTTGACAAGTGTGTCCCCAATGAACTTGTACATGTGTCACTCAATAAGCACTTAAATAAAATCTTACTATTGCTTCAAAAATTAATTATTTGATTTAGAACTGGAAAAGAAACTAAACTTAAAACCCATACGTAGAGATTGTGAACATTATGAGTTAACTTTATAAATGCTATGAATAAACTTTCAGCTTAATTTATATGTCACCTTCAATTAATCTCTTCCTTCATGGTATTCATCTGATTGATTATCGGAAGTCTTGACTTGTATAGCAATCAGTTTTTTCTTTCCTCAAGATCTTGGTTGATTTTTACAATCTTTAACAACATTTTTCCTGATTTATGTATAATTGGTTACTTTACTGAAGACATCTTTTGTTTATTTTATGCAGCTTTGCCTGATTCAAATGGCTACATATATGTTGAGGCAAATGGTGGCTTGAATCAACAGAGGACTTCTGTTGGTCCCTTCTTCTCCATGATGAATACTCTATTTTTCTTATCTTCCGTTCCTGGTTATGTCATTTTGCAGTTTTTGGCTCCTATTTATACCTTTTTATAATCTTTTGCAGATATGCAATGCGGTTGCGGTAGCAGGATATCTGAATGCAACACTTGTTATTCCTTATTTCCACTATCACAGCATTTGGAGAGATCCTAGGTTATCACCAATATCTCTGTCTCATAGTTTTCGTTTGTCATTACATTTATGACCATTCATTATTCTGAGAAAAGAGTTTTCATTCTTTCATAAACACCCTCCATCCTATTTTGTTTTAACAACTTGGCTATCCTGGATGTAAAGGTTGCATTTTTGCCACAAATGGATCCACTGTATACATCTTTACCCTGAATCTTGGCTTTTTTTTTTCTGACCAAGACACAATAACCCAACTATTTGAGGTTGGCTCCGTACATCTTTTACCACCATCGAGTGAACCCATGTTCATATGAGATCTGACAATTTTATACTAGTTATAAGTTATCAGATGCGACCTTCCTTTATCTAACCTTAGATCGAAAAAGATATAACAATATTGACACACAGGTAGGTGGATGACAATGAATCACAAGTATGATTCGCATTTATTGAATGGTTTACTGCTTGGTTTGATAATGGATGTTTGTCGCTGTGTGCTACCAAATTTAATTCGTTGTTGGATTTGTTAACTAAGTTACAAATAATAAGTTTCTGTTATTCATGCATACTTGTGATGCTTCCATTTGGGATTCTCTTTCTGGTAGTTAAATACTGCTACCTAGTGTTTATCTTGTCCTGATATGGCTACATCTTTCTTTCACTTTAGCTTTTTGGACATGCCTATTGTCCTGCTGGTTTTGATAACATCATCTTCTTTGAGAAATGTCAATCCCATACATGTTTTTATTTCAAAGTGACACTATGTATTTGTGATCGAGGAGGAAAAACTAAAAGATCTTGTATTTTGTAAATAAATGATGTAAGGCGTTAATATGTCTATATCTAGAGTCTAGGAGGAAAACCCAAAAGGTCCATTGTATTTTTGTATATAAATGATGTAGACATTAACAATTTGGTATCAAACAAATGGCTCAGAACTACTGAATTAAGTAAATAGAAACCAGTCATAAAAAGATCTTCATGTGGTATTTAAGACCAAAAGCTAGTGAAGGGGCTTGACTTTGGGCTGAGAATTCAACCATCTTTATTAACATGTTAACATGTGTCCTTACAAAATTTTCCCATACGAAGTGGTTTTGTGGAGGGTTCAGTCAATCTCATTTTTTTCTCTTGGCATTCTTGACAATAGGTCCTCAGTTTAGTTTGTTGGTGCAGAATGTTTTGGCTATGATTCCTGTCGCAATCAAGCTGCAAGTTATATTGGCTACTAGAACATTAAACAAATATCAACTTCATAAATTGCCCAAGGATCCATAATTATGGACATAGGTTCTAGATTCTAGGCATTTGGTCAACATTTTTCATTCTTCATTGCAGATATATTGGTGGCAAGCTTTTTCAGTTTGGTATAGTTTTAGGAAAGATGCAAGGGCACCTTAAGCAGCATTGTACAACTGTGTTAATGGCTCGTCTTAGTTCTTTATTGGTAACTAATTATAAGGTTGATTCCAAATTGTGAACAGTGATTACAATAGGCGCTCGGGCGCTCACCTAGGCGCTCGGGCGAGGCGAGGCGAGGCGAGGCGAGGCCCGAGCACCTCGCTTCATTTCCAGGCGGTGCGCTTCAAAGAGGCGTCGCCTAGGCGCTCGCCCGAGCCCAGGCGTTGGGCACTTCGGGCGAGCGCCTAGGTTAAACCAGGCAATCGAACTAGATTTTTAGGTCTGATTGGTCTCCGATGCTTTAGTTGGTTCAATCGAACCAACTAAATCACCGATATCAGGCTCCCTCTCGCGATTTCCCCGACTTCCCTAACCCTAACACTTGCGATTTTGTCATCGAGATTTCTTCTCCGTTGTCGCTACTCTCTGCTGCCGCCACCACTGTCGCTGCTCGCCGCTACTGTCGCTACTCGCTGCTGCCACAATCTCGCTCGCCGCTGCTATTGCCGCTCCCGCTGTCGCCACCGCTCGCCGTTGCTGTTGTCGCTTGCCGCTCTCGCTCCAGCTACAGCTGTCGCTTGCTACCGCTGTCGTTGCCTCAGCAACCTCGGTCTTCTCACACTCTTCTCACTATATAATTAACATTATATTAACAGTATACTGCTAACTGTATACTAATATTAGTATTTTATTTATTAGATTAATAATATGTTATTTTGATTTTAATACTATTAATTTTATTTATTTAAAATTATTGTTAGGTTTCAGAATAAATGGCAAGTGTACAGAGCAACTCAATAGATTTGATGTAAAATTTTATTGTTTTGATTTTTGAGACTTTTTATTAATATGACATTATGATTTTGTACCCGATTTTCTTAATTTAATAATATTTTTATTTAAATAATGATATTTTTTTAATTATATTATATATTTTTATATTTTAGCGTCTCGCTTCGCTCGGATGAGCGCCTCGGGCGTTTTTGGACCTTAGTGCCTTTTAACGTCTAGCGCTTTTTAAATCACTGATTATGAAAAAAAATTAAATTTTGCTTATCCAGATTATGGACTGTCATTTTGATAGATAGGGGTTCGACATGTACCGTGCTATTGACACATGACCAAACCAATTTTTGGCTCGTGCCAGCTAGCATGGCATGGCACGAACACAGCCAGAAAGGTATTAATGGGCTACTGTACTACAAGATTGCAAAAACATGATCCAGATGATTTTGGTTGTTGTCAACATTCAAGTGCAATTTTTTATGCTAAGTGATTTGCATAGGGAAGAGGAACAGGGTCAGATTTGAGGATTGGTGCATTGTTTCATTCTAAACCTCTAACATTTTGTTCCAGAAACAGAGTCCTGTTATAAATATTCCAGCATCCTCACATATATTTGCCTAAACCTATGTAGTTCTTTTAACTGTTCTATTATGACGTACTTTCTTGCCTTTGTTTTGTATTCTAATCATGTTTCTTGTCCTTTTAAATATTGCTTGATCTAGAAGTTTTGTATATTCATGTATTAGTTACATGAATAATCAGGCTATCATTGAAACTGCTTGTCTGTGCCTCATTCATTTGTCAAAAGATTTAAGATGTTTTGTCTGACATATTTGACAATGGTTCAGCAAATTCAATGACATCTACGATGAGGATCACTTCGTCAATACTTTGAAAAGTGAGGTGCAGGTAGTTCATCAGGTTCCTGAATATATAATGGAGCGATTTGGTCACAACTTGAGCAATGTGTTTAACTTCAAGATAAAAGCTTGGTCCTCTATTCAGTACTATAAGGATGCTGTTCTTCCTAAGTTGGTAGAGGAAAAGTTAGTACTTTATTATTTTTATCATTTTCTCGTAATTTACAGTTTGAAGGATTACCTAGACATTTGCATTCTATTGTGGTTTTCCCCCTTTATTTTATATTTTCTTTGTTAGTGTTCTTTATCATATTTGATTTGTTCATATATTTTTTATAACTCAGTTGTATAATGTATTGCTGCATTTTCAGTTTTAGGAAAGTTATGTGATAGTAGCAAGTTGGTCGTTTTATTTTTTATAAGTATGATATTTTAAGTTATGCTATCTAATGTTTACATTTGTATTTGTTTAATATTGTTTTTTCTATCCTTGTGCTTGTTACCAAGATACAGGGGCTTGTAATATTATTAAAGACAGAGGAGTTATTCTATAAGTTATATAGAAAACATTTTTAGACATCACAATTTTGGAGTATAAAATAATAATCAAATTTAAAACCATAAATTTGTCCAAACATTAGGGTAAATGAGGCATTAGAAAAAGCCATAAAGAGGATGAAAATGGTAAGAGTATAGGTCTTAATCGTATTCCTTTTGAAGTTTGGAGGATTTTATGAGATCAACAAGTAGTTCACTTCGAGGTCAAAACTGAAACATCTTGATTCTAGACTGAAATCAAACACAAGGACTAAATTTGGTTTAGTATTGGACTGCTACATTTCTGGTATACCAGTCCATACCACTCGGGATCACCTGAAGAAGATAAAAAGCTGATCAGTGCAATGTGTATTAATCGATATTCGGATCTATGGGTATTGTTATATTTGAAAGTTACACCAACTTGTACTTCCCGATATCACTGAAAAACATAAATGTTGATCAGTATTTAGCCATATATTTCAGTATTGATCGTTGGTTGCATTGGTACATAGTGGTTGTACACACTGGTCAGATGGTCAGATCTGTATGTAAAACCTTGGTTTCTATTTACTAGTTTACATAATAAATATCTAATATCTAAAAGAACCCTGATGATTGCATAGATGGCAGTATTGATGACATAAGTTGCAATATGTATTGCCTGCATGAAAGCTAATACTGTTATAATTTGAATTCTTATAATGCATAAAGATACATGTAGTTCTGCTGTTATGATATACAACCATGATAATTCTGTTATCACTTAACAATTTTGTCTTTAATATGGATCAGGTTTATCAGGATATCTCCTTTTGCAAATCGGTTGTCATTTGATGCTCCTTCCACGGTACAGCGCCTAAGATGCTTGGCAAATTTTGAAGCATTACAGTTTTCAAATCCTATAGCAACTTTGGCTGAAAACTTGGTCTCTCGAATGAAAGAACACAGTAAAGATAATGATGGGAAATATATTGCAGTGCATCTTCGTTTTGAAGAGGTAAACATGAATTCAAAATAGCTTTGTTTTTGCTGAATCTTATGTCATTCAGTTGATATGATTGGTGTATTTTACCTCTTTTCCAGGATATGGTTGCCTTCTCTTGTTGTGTATTTGATGGTGGTGAAGAAGAGAAACAGGAGATGAATGCTGCAAGAGAGAGAGGTTGGAGAGGAAAATTCACTAAACGTGGTCGTGTCATTCGACCTGGGACAATTAGGATAAATGGAAAATGTCCGTTAACACCTTTAGAGGTATAGCTTTCTTTCTAATTAAGTCAAGGGCTGGTTACTTTTGACATTTGAATGATCTGGTTGATGGTCGTTTAGTATCCTATAAAAACATTACTGCCATTAAGGTTCACCGAATGGCATGAACCTAACTTAGGAAGGAAATATGAAAAAACTCACTAAAATTAAAGAATTTATATGCACAAGACTAGTTTTATGATGAGTATTGTAGGTGATCAAATTGATACATCACATGGCTCATACAAACATGAAACAGTAATGGCTTACTTATTTCATCGTAGATTTTCACCTTGTTGGTTTCCTCTCTATATTTCCTCTCATTCTGGCTATGTAACTATGATTCTTGTCATTGCCTCTAGAGCTCCCTTGGCTACAGATCAGGTGTGTATGACCTGAATTGTTGAACCGCATAAGGCACATGTATTTGAGATCCAATTTCTTTATGGGAGAACTTTCAAATATTTCTATACTAATATTGGGATATACCTAGTTGCTATTTGTTAATCATTGCTTTTTTCATGTCATTCTTTTGAGATGTCATATTGGTCAAAATATACTACTGTCAGGGACATAGCCTGAAATGGACAACAACTATTCTCCGGTTCTTGCTGCATTATTGATTTGATAATATGGCGAGATCTTTTGATTGTATGGCCTCTCATGGTTAGATCATTGGAATTGACTGCAAGAGTGTTCATTGCATGATGAAGTCTTTTCAGCACACCTTTTACTCTTGCCACTTAAGATCTTTTCTGGTTTTTTCACAAACTTCGATGGAAGACATCATTTTCTGAATAATTACCATCTTTAGAAGCAATTGATTAAATTCCTCGTCTTTCTAGTCAAAATTCTACTCATCCATTAGTTTGGTAGTTGAAGAACAAGACTTTATATAGTCTATCATGCAGAACTTGAAACATATATCAATGAGGATTTAACTAGTCAACCTTATCTTCTGCACAAATATTCTAACAAGTGAAGTTTATGATTTTACTTCTAGATAATTATTTGCATAAACAAGGTAGGTTCCTGCAGGATTCTATTACGGTAGTAGGTTGGAGATACAAGCAAATATAATGGAGTTGGAATGGCATTCCATGACATGCTAAACATTATGCATAGACAGCTGGCTATCATGCCTTGTGCCATGGGCAAAGCTTCAGTCTTCAGGTTGACATGGATATGTGAGCCTAAAGTAATTCTAGTTTTAAAAGTAATATTAGATGGATTGGTTTTTAGTCTGCTTCATGAACATTAAGCGGCTAAAATCACTTACTGCTTTCACAAACTTCAATTTGTTATTTTCTTTTCTCCATGAATTAGCAAAGATGCTCAAAGATGTAGTTTTATTTGGTCATCCTAAGCATTATAATATGCTTGACTATCTTCCAATTATCATTTCATATATGTCATCAGGTTGGTTTGATGCTCCGCGGCATGGGCTTCGGTAACAATACTGCAATTTATTTGGCTTCTGGAAAAATTTACAAAGCCGAGAAGACTATGGTTCCGCTTCTTGAAATGTTCCCCCTTCTACAAACTAAAGAAACATTAGCATCAACAGAGGAACTTGCTCCATTCAAGGTGTTTAGATTCTGTTCCTTGTTCTCTAAGATCGTATGTAGTTTTATCTATTCTTTTCACCATAGTTTGCTTTAAATTGACAATGCTTGCAGAACTATTCCTCCAGGATGGCTGCAATAGACTACAGCGTGTGCCTTCACAGTGAAGTATTTGTGACTACTCAAGGTGGAAACTTCCCTCATTTTCTGATTGGCCACAGGAGATACTTGTATGGTGGGCACTCTAAGACTATCAAACCTGACAAGAGGAAGCTAGCATTATTGTTTGACAATCCAAACATAGGGTATGTCTGTTCATCTTCCTAACATTGTTTCATTAGATTTTATCAGGTCTGTTCTTAGTATTTGTCATTTTCAACTCAGGTAGTTATGATATGACTGTGTAGAAACTTGATGGACACACAAAGAGACAATACAACAAATGCATGTGCATTGCAACACCCTTTCTTGTGTCCAGATGGTGTAGGGGTATCAAGAGCAAGTTTGTATCGTAGATTCTGACAATCAGGTGTTTTGTTCCATTTAAAAGTTAAATGGCAGCATAAATTTTGTAGCCTGTAGCCAGTTTCTACCTAGAGTCTGGAAACCAGGTGTTTCATGCCTTTCCATTGAGATCCGGCAGTCTAATATCCTGTAGCCTGTAGCCACACCCACATTTGGGATTCGTTTTGCTTGTGAAAGTTTTCTACCTAATGATAGTATTTGGGATTATAAAAAGAAAGGTTCTTTGCCAGGCATTTTTTTGGGAGAAGTTTCAAGTAGCACTCAATTGTTTAAAATATTCATACGGTGCTTTTATTCATCTTCGACTTCCAATAATGACTTAGAAAGGCAACCATGATGACTGTTTTTAATCCTCATTATCTTTTGACTTAGTAGTTTCGTTCCTTGCACATCTGTTTATCATTCGTAACATTCCCTCCATAAACTTTTGCACCTTATATGATGTAATACCTTCTACCTACTTGTTGAACAGATGGAAGTCCTTGAAGCGGCAATTACTAAATATGCGAGCTCACAGTGATGCGAAGGGAATGGAGATGAAAAGACCAAGTGACTCATTATACACATTCCCGTGCCCTGACTGCATGTGCCGCTTAAACAAAACAGAAGTTTCAAAGTCTTCCTCGGCTCGATAGTATCGGTTCAGGAAATTTTGGCTAAACATTTGAAATGATTCACCTGATATTGAAATTGGTGCATCATCCATTCTTTCATTGGATTCTTAAGAAAGCACAACGTCATTCCAAGTTGGCAGCCTCCATTATTTTGAGCGCGTAGTTGCTAATCTTTACAGCCTGGGATTACTAGATTTTGTATAGTTGATTTGTTGATTGAAGGGAACCTCGTCATTGTTTCCCGGGCGCTGACTGACACTTGGACTTGCATCCACAACCTCTGGTACCGAAGCCTGGAAGCCGTATTGGTGCTCAGCGTCAGCAGAGGCTTGTACATTACTCGAATTCTTATTCACTTAATATGCAAATATTTGCATAGAGGGCAAATCTGGAGTCATCCAACATGTGGGACAGCAAAACCTTTTGTCTTTCTCTGTTGTAGCTTGATCTTATTCTTTGAACACTTGGATGTCATCCTTGTTTTGTCTAGCTTTAGGATACTCACCTCACGTGGAGGAGGAGGTAAGAAGAAAAATCACTGTATGGGCATGTGAGGTTATTCAAAGTTTTCCTCATTGTTTTCAGTTTTTGGTTATGTAATTAATGACAAAACATTTGGCTGCTAACTGATGAGAATGCTTCGAGCAGAGGAGTCGGGCGATTGGAAGTTAGGATGTTCTCAAGGAGTTGTTGGTTTTAGGAAGCCCAAGCCCTTATTGATGATGACCATTGAGATGGATGGATGGATGGGTAGAAGAGCTTGTTACTTGTCAAAAGCAGACTTTGGCTACTGTTATTGGTGTCTTGTGATGCTGATCTCCAAGTGGACGACCATCCACAGGCAGGCACGTGTGAAGACTTATTCCACGTGCGTGTAAAGTAAGGAGAGGTCAGTCAGGGCAGTGGAATGGAAAGGTGGCAGTGGCCGATGGACTTATTCCACTTGGACCTAAATGCTTATAAGGTGGAGTTGAAAAGCCTCACAATGCGTTTCACAATTGAGCTTCCGTCCCTCCTTTTTCTTGATCTTACAACAACAGATTTAGGTTTTCCATTGGCTCCTTCCGACTCTTGTTGATGTTGGTTGGTGGGTCACCACCACTCTCTCTTTCACTCAGCTTGGGTGTTGGATTGTCATCATCATGTTTCCACCCACTTCTACCTGCGACCCAACCTGCCTGGGTGTGACGACAGATCCACCAGATGCAATACATTATTTATTTATTACATGAAATGTTTTATTTATATATATGTATATATATGTATATATATTTCAAAACAAAACAAAACAAAACAAAGCAAAGAAACAAGGAAAGAAATCCACGTGGTTTGAAAATTCAAAGATTGGAAGCAGTAAAAGAGAAAAGACTTTTCCCCGTTTTTCTCGTTGCCTTTTGACTCGAACAAAATTCAACCTCAGCTACCGTTGACAAACAATATGATTATTGGACGTTGTTCGGATTCACATAAAAGTCAAAAGTGTCTCATGCCGGGATTCTTCGTCTCACCCACCCCCTGTCCCGTCCTTAATCTCACTTGGCAAAACGTTTCACGTTGTAAACTGGCATATTTTAGTCTCCCTGTGGAACATTAAATAATATGATATTTGTGCCACCGACGAGTCATTTGAATTTGTGTATACGGAGATTATTCTTACAGAGAAATCGATAAAAACCTGCTTGAGATATTATTCACTCAAAATTACAAAGTTGTCAACGCGTGCTAGTATTAAAATTTTCTTTTGTCCATCTTGTGAATTTTATAAAATCGAAGAACCTATTCTAGGTTGAATACATTCAGGTCAAATATCATGCAATATTAAAATATTTATACATACATACATATATAAATATATAAATACACTCCATGCAAGTTCGATGCATAAGAGTGGTACCGACTCTTTATCAAGTACTTTTAAATTTTTTAATATTTATTTAAACTCGATACATGATGATCTATTGAGAATGAATACATTGGCATGGATGTATCGTATAATATCGATATACGAAATTACTAATCCTTACTGGTACTGGTATAAATATCTAATACACATATTATATAATTCTGAAATCAAACGATTAAAATAAAATTAAAAAAAGGAGGCGATCGTAAGTCTACCAGCTTGAAGATCACCATGAAATGAAATTATGTGAGAACAAATATGAAATTAAGAACCACATTGCTGAATTCAGTAGGCTCTTTGACATTTGACCTCATGCAGAATTCCCACACAGGAGAAGAAATTAATGAATACATACCAAAAGTCTGCGATCATGACGACTCGACTGCATTAATGGCAATGATCAAAAACTTCCAAGAAGAGTGACGCTGATGTGAGTCCCCCACCCACCTCCTCCTTTCCCCACCAAGAGATGATACACCTTCAACTCTCCATCGGGATGAAAGGCCAGCAATGATTCATTGCATCCCACCATCATTTCATGGTGCCGCTGTATCATCTCTCTCTCTCTCTCTCTCTCTCTCTCTCTCTCTCTCTACTAAACTTGGCAAACCCCAATCAAACTTATTTATTTCTAATAATTTAATTAATTTATGTTGAAAAATATAATTTCCTTTTTTTCAATTGATAAAGATAAAACGAATACGTATACCACAGTCAGTATATTGTTTTAGGTGCAAAGATTCTTAATTTGAGATCCGTGACTTTCATCTCCTTAATGTTTTAGATTTAATTTTTCATCATTTTGATGATAATACTGACTTAAGAAAGAAGCCCAATGAAATATTTTTTGAATATATATATATATATATATATATATATATATATATATATATATATATATATATATATATATATACATATATAATTTTAGTTATATAAAGAAATAAGACTCCTAATATATAATATTCGGATGGCCGCTCGTGGTAGGCTCAAATAATGAGTCGGAGAAGACATAGAACATTAGCTGGTTCAGGTCCAACGCAAGGCAGCAATACTGACGATGGACAACACTCTACGTGTCGACTAAACGGGGAACCAGACGACGTGTCGACGTCTGGTTTGACAAAGAGGCTTTTGGTGCTCCGGGAGTGAGGAAGGGTCTACAGTTCACCGAACACGTGTTGCATTGACTTTTGATCACGCGGCTCGCCTGAATACGAAGCCTCGTCGCGTCGGATGGCGGCTGTCGAGTTGAGTCCCGCGCGAAGCAGCCGAAATGGACCCTCGATGGATCTCCGTGATCTTGTTTAGATTACTCTAATCCAAAGACTAATAGCCGCGGACTTTGGTTCTCAAAACACACGCCCGTGGTCAACGCCATTATTACGATCACCCCCTACCCCTCCCCCTCCCCCTCCCCCGCCACCACCACCACCACCACCCCCGGCCCGAGAGTTTTTTCAACCACCTGTCTCACTCTCGAAGGTCAACGCCCCCTCCTTCCACCTATTTTCTCTCTGTTTCCTTTCCTTTCTCCTTTCCCCACTCCTTCCACTTATCTTTCCCTTTGCCATTAGGGCTTCCATTCTCTCTCCTTTACTTCACGTAGAAAAGGACTCACCTTTGTCTATCTCCAGCTTCGGCTTCGCCTTCGATGGGCAACGGGCTCGCGGGGCTCGCCCACTGCTACTCCGGTGGCGGACGCCGCCATGGCTCAGCCGCTGTGTCTTGGGACCCGTGCGACGAGGGGCTAGGCCACTCCTTCTGCTACCTCAGGCCTGACGCTGCCTGCGGCGTCTCCGGTCGCCCCTCCGCCACCGCCGTCGCCAAGGTCCACAACTTGGAGGAGACCACCACCTTTCGGTCCATCTCCGGGGCCGCGGTGAGCGCCAACGCCTCCACCCCGCTGTCGACGTCCCTCCTCGACTTCGCCGGCCCTACCGCGGCTTCCGCCTTCGAGAGCTCCACCTCTTTCTCCTCTGTCGCACTCCAGCCTGTCCCGCGCTTCTCCGGGCCGCTCTCCGGCCCGCTTGCCGCCGCCGACCGGGGGTTCATGTCGGGCCCCATCGAGAGGGGTTTCATGTCCGGGCCGATCGAGAACCAATCCGCTCTCTTCTCTGCCCCCTTCGAGAAGGCCCCGTTCTTCTCCGACCAGCTCCGGCGCAGCCTCTCGCGCCGCCTCCCGAAATCCGGCCGGGCCGCCGCGCGCTCTATCTTTCGTGGGCTTACCAAGGCCATCGCGAGGACCATGTCCACCACCGCCTACGGCCACGGATCCATCGTCGCGCCCGTAAAGGGGTCGAAATATTCCCACTCGGCCGACGGCGGAATAACGAATCCGCGCGGGTGCAGCGGTCGTAGCATCGTGGAGGCGACACAGTGGTCGGATTCGCTCGACTCCTTAAGCGGCAATATCCATTGGGCGCAGGGGAAAGCCGGGGAGGACCGCGTCCAAGTCGTCGTCTCGGAGGACCATGGTTGGGTCTTCGTCGGCATCTACGACGGCTTCAATGGCCCCGACGCCACAGATTACCTCCTTTCCAATCTCTACTCGGCTGTACAGCGAGAGCTCAAAGGACTACTTTGGGACGACAAAGATGACACCTTTTGCCATGAGGCTTTTGATGATTCGGTCGCTCTTGCGGCCGCAGACGAATTTAATCCCACTGTTGCAGCGAATTGGACGTCAAACACTCGCTGCTGTAAAGAAGGCAGACATCACAGGAGGAAGCTAAGAGGTGCTGCCAAGAAGTGGGAGGAGAAACACCGGAGACAGAGGTGCGAGTTTGAGAAGGAAAGGTTGGAGTTTGACAGGAGGTTGAAGGAGCAACTAAGCAGGGCGAGTCCCGATCACGCTGTGAACCACTCACAAGTGTTGAAAGCTCTCTCTCGATCTCTCAGGAACACAGAAGACTCCTTTTTGGACATTGCAGACAAGATTGGTTCCGAGAATCCTGAGCTTGCGCTCATGGGTTCGTGCGTCTTGGTGATGCTAATGAAGGGGGAAGATGTATATCTGATGAGTGTGGGTGATAGCCGTGCAATTCTGGCACGGAAGGAAGAACGTGATTTGTGGACCTCGATAGGAAAGGCTAGGCAGGATCTTGAAAGAATTAATGAAGAAACACTCTTTGATCTTGAAGGTCTCAGTGATGGCCATCCATCCAATGAACTGTCAAATTTATCAGCCTTGCAGCTGACTTCTGATCATAGCACTTCAATTGAAGAGGTAAGCAGCTGATACCGGCATTTATTCGGCATCCTTTGTGCTGCAATTTTATGTGGTCTCTCCTTTCCTGAGACTAACCTGAATTGTATGATTTGGTTTGCTTTGCTATTCAGGAAGTTCGAAGAATTAGGAATGAGCACCCTGATGATGCTTCTGCCATTTCAAATGATCGCGTTAAGGGCTCACTGAAGGTCACAAGAGCTTTTGGTGCTGGCTTCCTGAAACAAGTATGTATTCAATATTCCTAACTGCTGCCTAACATTCTGACATCTGATCTTAATGTTTGTAACCTTTCTTCCATTCATTTATTTGTGAGCTGTAATTTAAGATGATGATGGGGCCCTACCTTGTTCGATATAGTCTAAATGTTGCCACAACTCAAGAAAACTAAAGTTATTAGAATCAAATTGGCAATTAGTTATAAGCAAAATCATCGGATGCAAAATTAGTTTGGGCAATGAAAGGGGTTAATGTTATGTACAAAGATCTTCAACACAATGTGGTGTGGATCCATAATCCGCTGAAAAAAGTGTGTAGTTGTGTGGAACATATGATTATCTGCCAAAAATGTGTCGTCTGCCATGCGGAGTTTGATCTAAATGTCGCTTATTATGAATATAAGTTGGGATGGTGGGTGTTCTTTTATGATGACTTATGCAACCTGACACTGTAAGGGATTCATATCGTATACAAAAATCTGTGTTGCAATGTGGTGTAAGTCCATAATCCACTGAAAAAAGGTGTGCGGTGTTGTATAGGACATTAGATTATTATTTTTGACACTGATGATTTCTTAGGTTTTACCAAGTGCTGCCCGACCGTGATTAAGTTTCTGTGATTGTTTCCAGATAACCCTAGTTGAGTCAATTATGCTGGCACCATCTGCAAAGCCTTTATAACTTTTATTTCTTTCTTTAGGTGTTTCCTTTTTTACTTTCTTTCTTTTTTCTTCTCCTTCATGTTCTTTTAAACTTTCTGATAAATTGATGCATTAACTATATAGGCTTTTTAAGAAAATTAATTTCTTACAACTTCAAAAAGTTTGGGTCATTTTCTGGATCAAAAAAGTATATCGATGTCAGGTTGCTTGCCTTGTAAAAAAATCACATGCCTTCTAAACTCTTGGAGTACGAGTTTGAATCAACTTTTTGACAACCATTTGCCTTTAAAATATTGATATAAGCTTTGCGAAATCATTGAACAGCCTTGTGGTCACGGAGATGTTGACTTTCTAAGATTGTGCTTAGTATGGAGAATCACGTTAACATAACTTCGGTTGTTATTCTATCCACTGAGTTGCAAGGATTTTTTGCATCTTGATGAAAATTTGTGACTAGTAGAATGCGATTGCTTTTCATTCAAATATGATATATTGATTTCGCTTTGCAGCCCAAATGGAACAATGCTCTTCTAGAGATGTTCAGAATCGATTACGTTGGGACCTCACCATACATCACATGCAACCCATCTCTGTATCACCACAAGCTCGGCCCAAAAGATAGATTTCTGATACTATCATCTGATGGGCTCTACCAATACTTCACTAACGAAGAAGCAGTTGCTCAAGTTGAAATGTTCATCGCAGCAACACCTGAAGGTGATCCTGCTCAACATCTTGCGGAAGAAGTACTCATCCGTGCAGCTAAGCGTGCCGGTAAATTCCAAATTCTCAACAACACAATTGACATTGTTTGGATGCTTAATTTAAGCTAATTAACATCTCCACATATGTTGTTCCAGGTATGGACTTCCATGATCTGCTTGAGATCCCACAAGGTGACAGACGACGATATCATGATGATATCTCCATCATCATCATATCTTTAGAAGGACGAATATGGAGATCTTGTACGCAAACATGAGTACAAAGTTTAAACAAGTCTTAGAGATCCACCAAAAACAGCTCTCAGGTTGTGCTCATGCCATTCCAGTTGAGATTTTGAGGAGACTCAATGCCATGTATAGTCAAGTATTAGGTGCTGTGAAGTTACAAAAGCTGCTTTGAGCAGATCCAGACAGCGATAGTGAGAACACTTCATCTGTATGGTTGTCAACAAGAGTAATTATTTCAAATAATTAGTGTGACCAATTGGTCCATGTAATTCTTTTAAGATGTTTTCTAATTTTCACGTTTTTGCTTCGATATTACTCACTTACATTGATGAAATTATTGTTATCATTTATTTAAAATCTTGTCCATGTAATATATATTATGAAATAGCTCATTCGCATACGATTAAATACTAAAGAAATAATGAACAGTCATAGTCATAATAAAACATTGAAACAGAAGACAAATTAGGATGGATTGACATTTTATTTGTATGTTTTTTGCTATCTAATCTTGTGTTTCAATCATCTGCAGTTGTCATATCAGAAGTAGAAATAGGTGATGGTGAAATAGTTTGTGATAGCCATCAAACACAAGCATTGCCAGGTGACTTCTTCTATCTTAATTGGATCAAACACAGTGTAAACAAGTTCATCATTCTCTGGTGCACGCCATAACATGAAACAGTCCTTTTTGTTTGTTGTGATGCAGCATCCTATCCCCATTACAGAAAAAGCATTCCCTTCTTAAACAGGGAACAGTGTGTCTTGTTCACTGCCAACCCTTCACACCTTACTGGTCTGTGATATGATCCTCAATCAATGATAATTGCTATAGTATTGATTTCAAATTGTCAAAACTAGGTTATTCTCCTTCAGGTGTCATCATTCTCCTGCCCAGCTTTCATCACCTCCTTTTTGGTTGATGCTTCCACTGGATGCCTGTGGGATATGTTCCCTTCTTTGTTCACAATAATACAATACAAAGATGCCTTTCGTTTGCTTTGCTCTTCAGTCTGCATGCAGCCTTGTTTGAGTTCATGAACAACAAAACCATGTTGTCAAAAGTAGAAGCATCCTAATTGAAGGATTAGAGTTCACGAAGAGAGGGGAAAGAAGAAGCCTGTGATAAGAATCATCCATGCTGAAAACCCACCAAGAACACCTATGATTGTGTCTAGAGAAATTAACCAGAGTAAGTCCCACCATTGTTTGCATTTGAACTGCAAAGCCATGACTGCCAGAGATGATGATAGCTTAAGATGGGAGCATCATCATGAGGGGAATGGGGAAGGCATGAGCTGCAATGATGTCTCCATGTAGTGATGCTGTGGGGGACTTGTTCTCTGTGCTTTGCCTTGTAAAGTAACAGCAATTCCTCATCTCAATCCTGGCGAGAAGCATGTGCAGATCTTCTTCTCCCCCTCTGAATCCTTGGCATCAGACCAAGATCAAAGAATGTTTGAACATGGAAACTGCTGATTTCTGAGGTAGATGTTGTTTTTGATAGGTCTTAATTGGAGATACATATGGGGAAGATGTTGACTTGGGAGTTGAAACAAGACAGATGCAATTATTACAAAGCATCCCATCTCTAACTAAAAACAACAGCTAATAATAATCCCTATTATCAGTAATTAAACATAAATAAATAAATAAATAAATAAAAATAAGACGTAAGATTAATATGATTCGATATTATTTATCGAAATATCAAATTTGATCAGATTATAATATTTTTAATAAATTTTAAATCAAACACAACTTCGAAGAATTGACGATAAATAATATCCATCGAGATAAAAAGATATATACCATAAAATAATCAAAACTTGATTTGTTTCTTTATAAAGAAATCTTTGTATACCAAAATTTCCTATTCTTTAGTGGACATTGATTTCAAAAGTTCAAAAATACTTGCCATACTTGTATGAATCCATCTTGCATTTAATCAAACAAAGAGATAAAGCCAACAGCCAAATGAGTCATTAGCTCACTGTTTTTTGTGGGTGCAAAGGGCATTTGTGGATCAGCAAACCTTTCCACAAACACCTCTTTTCCAAACAACCAAACGTCAGAGACCACAACGTACTTTCAACTCTTTGGTTGGTTTCTGCAGCAAGCTTTCCATTCCAAGTACCAAGTTTCCCACTCTCTCTCTCTCTGGTCGCTTCGTTCCCTGTGAACTTTCTTTCTCCCCTCTCTTCTATTGCGACGTACAGCTCTTTGTGGTTTGGATCGCATGTACTTCAGTCCAAGCCTTAGAAGCAGAGGAAGAGATGGAATCCGAAGGAGGAGAAACATGTCCTACGCCTCTGATTCCTTCTTCTTCTTCTTCTTCTTCTTCTTCTGCTGTTTCATCTGAGGAGAGTAGGAACAAAGCGGAGGTGAAGTTGACGGGAAAGTTGGAGCAAGAAGAAGAAGTAAACCAAAGCAAAGGTGATGATGGCGCTGCTGCTGCTGCAAATGACGATGACGAAGGTTACCACACGCCGACATCTCCAAGACATAGAATTCCGGTGCCACTCGAGTGCCCGCCGGCCCCAAGGAAGCCTTCTTCCATGCTGTGCTCGAAGCGGAAGGTGAAGAGCAGTCGAACTCAGGGCCAAGCGGGTGGTGGCCTCGGCGACTTGAGCCTGCAGGTGTTCGAGGAAATTGCTCCGGTGGCTAAGAAGGCTAGAGGAGACGCTGCCACCACAGAGCGATGATGATGCTATGTTACATATCCAAGATATATATATATATATACATACAAGATGAACCCTACAAGCATCTTTTTTCCTCTCTTTTCTTTCTTGGATTAGATTTCTGGATGATGAACAAGGATCATTCAATTCTCTTCTACTCCGTGGAGCTCCTTCAAGCTATAATTATCGTGCTCTTGAGTGATACAGATTTGGGCTCTGTTTCCCACTTCCTGCAAACAGATGTAGAGATGTTTCCCCCTACGATTTCTCATCAGCTCATTAGGCACATAAGCTCATTCATGCAGAAGGTAAAGTGTGCACGGTCTGCTGTTTCCAGCTTTGGATCTCTACAGTGTGCATTCATTTGCATATAAGGCATTCAGAATTCACCTTGTCATTTCATTAGATCGGATACATAGTAATTTCAATTAATGTGTATACGTTTCATTAGATCTTACACAAATAATATTATTATATTCATGCTTTCCAGACCCTACGATTGTAAGTGTATATTCAATTTATACACTCTAACAATCTCATATTTCCAACGCATGCTTTAAGATTGTCCAACACTTGAACAGTGTCTCTTCGATGTGGCCCAAGTGCAGCACTTGCTTTGGCCCATTTTGAGATCTTTTGGCCCACAATACAATATTGGGCCGACCTTACGTCCGGAAGCCCCTCCCGACAGGCAATCGCAGCCGTGCATCGGCTGATATGGTCGATCAGACGTCCATGGTCGTTGAAGGGTAGTTTAGTAAATAAGATGCACTGGAACCCCTGTTTTGCTATTTAAAGGTTGGTTCGTTTCCGCCGTTGGGGTTCCAGACGTCGTCTGCCGCTAGGGTTTCTTGCTGTCGGAGTAGGGGGTAAGTATAGATCGGCTTCCAGCCACACTTGTCTCGTTGAATTGGATGTGCATATGCTTGCAAGTCATCTCATTCATTTATCGAATCTATGATCTTCATTTTCGTTCTTCTTCAACTCGTAGATGCGATGAATATGTACTTATACTTCTTCATCGATAGCGGTTTTGATCTGCAAGTGCTTCGATCGATTGTTCTTGCGTTTTTTTAGATGACAATGTTGTGGTTCCTTGATTCGTTGGAGAGCTTGGCTGATTCGTCTCTTTCACTTTGTTCTTAGTAGGAAGCGGACGGTGTGCTTCATCCGGGCCTAGTGATGACCCCTTCTCAGCCGAACACCGGTCTCTTTGTCGGGCTCAACAAAGGGCACATTGTTACCAAGAGGGAGTTGCCTCCTCGTCCTTGCAGCAGAAAAGGGGTATGAATCCGAAGTTTTTGAAAATTGATGGTTTAGATCCATTTTGGCTAGTAATTTCTTATTTTAGCTGAAAAATGCAGATATTTGTTTTTTCACTGTTATTAAATGGTTATCGGGGTATTACGGTCAGGTGGCTAATTTATGATCAGGTCAAAGTATGCTTTTAGTGAAATAAGGAGTGCATGCTGATTGATTTCTGTGTTTTATTTGATGAGCATAACATTCAATTACTCAAGTTGGAGAGAGTTATCTCTCGTTCTTGTTGTTGAGTCGGTATCACGGAAACAATTAAGATTCTATATGATTTGTGCAGGAATAATTTGCTATGTACTTTGCTTAGGGTTAACCCTATCTGAGTTTATTGTCATGGGTGGTTGGTCTTCTCTGACATCGAACATCCCTTCTGCTTCTAGAGCAACTTGAGAGGAACATGTAGTTATACCTCAAAATGGTGAATGTTTATCTCCTTAATTTCATAGTTTCAAGTAGTTACACATGAGGAACATGTTTAGCTTAAACATTAATATCTTTTTATTTACTTAAATAAGTTTCATTTTGCAATGCATGCATGCCCATTCAACTGGAATGCCTATGCTTTTTCTTCTCATTCATAAATATAGTTGTTTTCTTTTGACTGTATGTTGATTTTCTGCAGAAGTCAGATCTTGTGACAGATATGGTGTTTTCTGAATATATTCAATGGGAGAAAGCTTATGTTTATGTTTATTTCATTTTTCTTCCATAAGCTTTAAAATTCTATTAGTTGGAGGTTTTATGCTGTATAATTTATAATCTTTGGACAATCAAATGTCAGAAAACTAGCAAGAGGGTTCATTTCGTAAGGAACTTGATCAGGGAAGTAGCTGGTTTTGCTCCTTATGAGAAGAGGATTACTGAGCTCCTGAAAGTTGGAAAGGATAAGCGTGCACTGAAAGTTGCGAAAAGAAAGCTGGGCACCCACAAGAGAGCCAAAAAGAAGAGAGAGGAGATGGCTAATGTTCTTCGGAAGATGAGGTAAGCGGCTTTTTGTAATTTAAATCCATATGCTACTGGTTTCTATCTGATACTGGCGTAAATTAATTTTACATTTACAAAGTGTAACACGAGGTCTAAATCTAATTAGTTTGACTGATTCGTAAGCTATTAGTTCTAAAGTTGAAACTGATTAATCGTTTTCAAAATGTCACTTGTTATTATAATAGGGCAGTAAATAAAACTGTAGGAAATTTTGTGATGATGATTTTACCAAGTTCATTGGTGATTGATGAAGTTTTGTTGATAGTTCCTCATGTAATATCTATCTGTTCATCACCTTTCAATCCATTTCACATTATGGAACATTCATCCATTGGTTGTTTGATAGGTCCTCTCACTTTGACAGTTTGAAATTTTATTAGTGCATTTTCACTGCAATTGCTAAAGATGGAAAAGGCAATTGGATTAAAATGTAACTGTTGCTCACCCCCCAATGCTGCAATGCGTTGCAAACAATGATAGAGATGCATGACTTGTTCTGCATCATTGTAAATATTTTGTTTGGATCTCTATTGTTGTCAATTTATATGTAAAAAGTAAACAAATTATCTGTCCAAACATGCAGCACTACATGTTTGTGGTTGGCATATGATAATTCACTTGTTGAGTATGTTACAACTCTTTAAAGAAAACTTCAACTGTCTTTAAGGTACTTAGTGATCTTAGACTGGCAGCTCATATGTTCGTTAATTGCATGAAGGATACTGAGTGCATCTCTGGTAGAGATTTGGCCACTGATTTAAGTTGAAAGATTGTCGATGTACGATGGTTAAGATATTCTAGCACATACAGAGGATTCAGTCAGACTAGCTGCTCTTTGATGTTTGGATCAAAGATTTGAAAAATGGAATTATCTATTGAGAACTAAATTTTGGATTGATTCATTCGGATTGGATTTTTGGATCAGTTGTAATTAATTGATTTCAACAGCTCAAAATCCAGAATTTCCCAGATCTGCTGAGATTTACAGGTTTTATGTGATCCCTTGAATTTTCAAAGATTATGATGTCTTTCTAGGATTAGACTTGGGGCAACATTACCGAATTATTGTTCAGTTCTGCAAGACATGGTTGGCATCCTTTTCAACTGGTTTGCAGTTGCAGTAATCTTGGAACTGGGTGGATGAGCAAAAGCAGATTAAATATGTTTTTCCAGGGCTCAATTGCTAGCTTGATAATTGGATCAAGATGTTCATGGATGCCTCAAGCTCGGTTGATTTCGTGCTCGATGAGCTTAAAACAACAATGATGACAACAAGAACAATAACAAGATATATTGTCCAAACTATTTGGGGTTGATACTTGCTCGATTAGTTTGGCCGATATATAGGTGAACCACACTTGTAGTAGTAGCATTTTTTTTAAACTACTCTAAACTTAGTTTAACTTTGATCAGGCTCGGGCTCGGCTTAAATGTCGGATGGTGTGCAACGACCATGTCCTTATGTGCTTATTCCTCTTCCCCGCATCTGTTGCCTCTATGCCTCATCATCTCATGAAACTTTGGCGCCATTGTTGCCTTGCTATTTAACAGCCTCATGTCCTCTGTCTCATGACTGCTCATATACAAGTATTGAAGATTGATCATATGTATGTAGGCTTGAAACTAAATTCGGACTAGACTGAACATGACTGTCTTAAGCTTCCTTGTGTCCATATCAACGAGGTCTATGACTGAGGGATTGGTTAAATTTCTTTTTTCTGAAGAATGATTGGTTAAATAATAGAGGGGGAGTTTTGCATATGCAAGTTTCCAGCGATGTTCAGTTTCAGAAGTCAAAAGCTTGTACGGAATGTCACTAGATAAGTTGTTAACCAGACTGACTTGGATGGCTTCAATTCCTTTGGATCATTACATGTATACATAGATGGTTTCGGTTCATAACTTTGTTCCAGTAGGCATATAGTTGATTTTCTTTTCCGTCCTTTATGATCCTTACATTCCTATTGTAATTCTTTTCATAATTGCATATGTTTTTAGTTTGCAGTTGTTTACGTTTAAACTTTAGTATTTTCATAGACAACTTTTGCAAAGGAGCTTATTTCATATGTAACTTGTGCCCTTATTCTCAAAAAAACCAACGAGCATAAGGTGTTCCAAAAAGAAAGGAAAAAGTATATATATATTTTAAATTTCTATAAAATAAGCAGCAGTTCCTATAAGTGATTGTGGGTCCTGTTGTTAGATTGTTCTTCGATAAATACCTTAATTTTCATCTTATACGCAATGAGTTGACAGTATGGTTGTAATAGAATATGTATGCTTACAAGCAATAATTATTAGTCATATTCTAATTTCTCACGTGGTGTTTACATGTTCTTCAGGTCTGCTGGAGTGAGTGATAAGAAGAAATAATGTTATCCCCTGCAATCGTTGGAGGATTAATTTCAATGAAGGCTTTAGACTTTTGATAATTCAGCAAGTAATTTTGACCCGCAGAATCTTTTGGGTGATTGGGTTTATGTGGTGTTTGATTTTTCAGGAATTTGTCAAAAGTAACAACCTTACAATAAATATTTAAGTCGAATAATATCGATATCTTTATGGTCTCCCCCCGATCAGCTAATTATCTAAGAGCGTGTTTATATGGGATAGTTTGTCCGTTGAAATTATTCGTCTCACAGCAAATGGATGTCTGCATAAAATCATATGAAGTATATTACGTCCTAAAGAGTCCGCTGCGGAAATCAAAAAGGGGGTTGTCTGCTTACGGACAATGAAACAAGTCACTCTTAAGGGAAATATAACGATTTAACCATGCACATGAAGTAACTCGAAAGACCTGACCGCGGTTTCGGTTTCTCCAAATCAGAATTGCGATGCGAATCATTATTATTATTATTATTATTATTATTATTATTATTATTATTATTATTATTATTATTATTATTATTATTATTATTATTATTTTTAAATTAAAAAAAATAAATTTAAAATATGAAAATAAGTATAATTTTATTTTTAAAATTTTAAAAAATAGATGTATAACTCTGTGACGGGCAAAGTTGAAATAAAGAAATAAAATTATTAAATGTCACTAAATACAACTTTCGAAAAAAATGAAATAAAATAAAATCTTTAATCAAACAAAAAAAAAACCTCTCTTAAGATTCAAACCCACTTTCATTAATTTAAATTTCATTATTATATATTATTTTATATATGTGTTTTATATTTATTTTTAAATATATTTAAATGATTTGAAATCGAAACAAATGTATTTTGATTTTCTAAAATAAAAGAAAAAAATCGAAACCTAATCATCCCGGATCGATTCGATTCCCATTACGAGAAACTGCTGCACCCACTCTTCTTCTTTAGCCAGTAGGCGGAAATGCTGCAGCCACTGTCTTTAGCGAACACTGGTCGACGATTGTAATGCGACCGAGGAAGCCATGGTGGAGAACAGCAGCGAGTGGCACACCCGTGAGCAACTCTGCAATTAGTAGCACAAAACGCATGTCCACTTCAGGAAAGACGTTTCCACGCTGCAAATGATTGACACCCCACCTGCGCATCCTATCGCCTCCGATCTATCGAGCGTCTCCGATGTTCCCAGAGCACACACGTGCATGGCCGTCGACGTAGAATCCATCTTCCCTGTGCGCTGGGAATCTCGTGTCAGATATCTGATGCATCAATCACTGGGACTCACAACATGCTCAGCAAAATTTTTGTTTGACGGGTCGTCTTATGCATCCATAGAAAGAGTATTAATAATGTGCCCATAAAAAAGTTGTTTTTGTCTACTTTACAGTATTAGTTATGTCAAGTAAACCATCTTTTTATGATCATATTATCTGTTAAAGTCCACAACCTGTGCACATCAAAGCTTGTTCATCAATTGCCATACTAAGTATCACCTTTATACCAAGTGATACTAAATGCTAAATTAAGATTTACATAGTTTGACTCTCCATTTCTAATAAAAACATAAAATGATAGATATCATGCGAGAATAATTGTCACACTCTAAGTATCACCTTTATACCAAGTGATACTAAATGCTAAATTATGATTTACATAGTTCGACTCTCCATTCCTAATAAAAACATAAAATGATGGATATGATACGAGAATAATTATCACACTCTAAGTATCACCTTTATGCCGAGTGATACTAAATGCTAAATTAAGATTTACATAGTTTGACTTTCCATTCCTAATAAAAACATAAAATGATAGATATCACTTTTATTATCTCTCATGGCAAAAATTGAGATAGATTGGATATTTATCAAATCGACAAATTCTTAACTCCAAGGGTTTATTTTTCAAGATTGAATTTATTAATTGAACTCGAAGTAATCCGATTCTACAAACAATCTGATTGAAATAAAAAAGCTCATCAACCTCGACACTGACGATTAGTTTAGGCAGTCCACAATTATTTTTTTGATTTAAAGAACTATTAATTCCGTACATGTATTTAGTGGATGCAGCCGTCAAAGAGATCAGACTCTTGAAGCAATGGAGAACAATGAGATCAGACTCTTGCAGCAAAGAAGAACAACCTGCAATCTCATGGTAGAAGATAAGCACGACTTTTTGTAAGATGATGATCTCATGTATCATTCCCTCTCTCTCTCTCTCTCTCTCTCTCTGTACACTGAAATGGACAGGAAGGCCTTCCTTACCACAGGCATTATCATACAATAACTTACATGCTGCAGCATCTTCGAATCTGATACCATGAGGTGTCAAACAATTTGGCACACACCTATATCCATGATTGGGCTCATGTGAGGCAACGTGAGCCGACATGGAATCTTACGCCCACGGCATTTACCCTTTCCTCCTTTACTTGTCATTTGAAGGAGGCCCCAACATAAAAGATTCTTAGGAGACCCCCCCCACCCTTTACTCAAAAGATAAAGCTGCATCTCTCTCTCTCTCTCTCTCTCTCTCTCTCTCTCTCTCTCTCTCCATCCATCTATCTATCTATCACCCCTACTGATTCATTTCAGCTTCCATTTCGTTCATTATGCAGTCACCTGCAAAGGATAAACCAAGAAGGGCCATCTCTCCCACTTTGCTCAGAATTTACATGGACTGGGTTGGCTACTTTATTCCCTCGAGACAGACTGCATTGGACTTGTTGAAAGCAGACGAAAACTCAGATTCCCTTCGACAGAGACACGTAAAGAAAGAGATGGGTTTTCTGTGGCCTTCACCTTTTCCTTTTTCCCCTTCATCTCCTCCTCCTCCTCCTCTTTTACACTGTTTCAGTGCATGTTTGTCCTTTCATGATTTGCCCTTTGGTCTTCGGTTGTTCTAACCATCCAGTTCTTGGTGGCTGCATGGATTTTGGCGACACACAAACACTCTCTCTCTCTCTAGTCTTTCGGAAGTTGCATGGAAGTTACATGAATATGTGTGCAGTATTAGATTGTGTGCGCATTGAGGACAGAATGATTATGCAGTTCATTCGATTCGATGCATAACTAATGACCAAATCTGGCAGCATATGCCCAAATAAAGTGCTTGTCTCCTTGTCTCTCACATGCTTTGCAAACACTGTGTGCAAAATGAGAAAATATTATGTGGACTACATAACAATTCTCGGATGGGAGTTTGTATTCCCAATGCATGCAAATACAATGTTCTGATTGCTCTCTCTCCGGATTCCCCATTCCAGTAGAATATTGTCGTAGGCTGATGTGTGACAGGAAATGTATGCAATGCAATGCAATGCAATGCAATGCAATCATCTGACAGATGGATTACATGATTGATATAATTTGGAGGGGGGGCAAAAGACCAAAAAAGATGCTGCAGCAGTCAAGGATAGGCTCCAAAGTTCTAGAAATCCAAAAGACACCTCGACATGCATGATGGCCAAATCTTTGACTGCCACTGCAGATATTGGCACTGCACTTTCGTTTCCCAGAAGTGCATCCTTCGATGTAGGAGCATGGTGTTGATGCAAGATCCAGAAGGATTATGCTCTACATGCTTCATCTATCAGGTATTCAGAAGGCTTTATACTAGCAATATGATAGCTTCCATACCTAGTTGCAGCTCAAGAGAGAGAGAGAGAGAGAGAGAGAGAGAGAGAGAGAGAGAGAGAGAGCTGCTGCAACAGCAATATTCATATTGATCCCTAAAGCCACATTGAATGATCCTATAGCTACAGCCAGAGGACATAAAATTATCAGGGGGAAATCTAAAGGCACACTATTATCTGATGCAAGTGTCAGGTTGCTTCTGATGCTGATTACAGCTACTGTAGGAAGAATTGAGAGCAGCAAATATGATAAGCCGAGGTACCAAATACTTCAGCACGCACACTGAGAATTTGGTTCCAATTTCTATATGTTGTCTACTCTTCAGGAAGGAAACAAAAGAACAAGTTCATATCAGATGGCAGTACTGAGAGTAATGATGTGTAGATAAGATTCGACTCAATCCAATGAAGAGCATTATAGTTCATTACTAACAACCAACCTCATGTCAGAGATCTGATCCTCCATGAGTTTGTGCGGCAGCTCGATTTAGACATCCACTGAAGTTAAGATGGGAAGCAACAAACACAAAAGTAGATCCAAGATGAGACACTGACCTCATTTTTCTGAGGGGAAGATGGTAATCGAGATCTTCTTCTTCTTCTTCCTTGATTACTTCAGTACGTAGTTCATCCTCCGAGCGATGCGGTCACAGCAAAAGCTCGGGCCATGAACTGAGAGTTACAAGATGTTGCCGGATGAGGAAGAGTTGAAGAAATCTGTCGTCCAACCTCCGCCGCTGGTGCTGCCAGCTTCACCGGCACTGCTCCAATATTGGTCGTTTGCAGTGAGACCTGAATACTGCCTTGGTAGATTGAGTCCCTGAGAGTTGTCTTCCATCTTCACGGAAGCCAGCTGCGTGATTAGGGAAGAGGCAGGAAGCTTCGGAAGGACTCGGTTCATAGTGCTGTCGCCTCCGCCTTCTCCGGTGAAGTGGTATAGCTCGGACAATGATTGCACCGCAGGCGGCTGCTGTGGTGGCTCCAAAATCCCCAAGAAAGGGAATGGCTGGATCTGCGGCAGCTTCCACTGCTCGATCCCGACGCCCGAGATGCTTCCCATCTGGTACTCGTCCGCATCGATGGTTGGGATGCCCGTGAAGTTTAAGCTGGGATTTGAGGCACCGTAGTCAGCGAAAGTGTGCATGGAGGCAAGGAAAGGCAACTGGCCCGGCTGGGGTATGTTAGGTGGGAGAGCGCCGCCGCGGCCCGTGGCAGTTGAAGACGAAGATGAGTTGCCTGCCTGGCGGTCAGCGGTGGTCGACTTGGAGGAGCTTCCCGAGGATTTACTCCGCTTGTTGCGACGGCAGCCTCCACCCACGGGAACGTTTCGGAGGGCGCCGCCTCGGGTCCAGTAGCGTCGACAGGTCTTGCAGAAGTGGCGAGGCTGCGAGAGAGAGTAGTTGTTGAAGTAGCAGAACTTGGTGTTCGTGGAGTCGCACCGCGGGCACTTGAGCGGTTGTTCCGGCTGCGGGATCTTCGCGAGGCGGGCTCGTTCTGCCATGGAGATCGGTCTGGCCAAGCCTGCAGCTACCGTACCGCCTTCTGGTCGCTGTGCAGCTGCCAATCCCGGAAGGAGCTGAGGAGCCTCACTGCCTCCACCTGCAGCGGCCGGAAGCTGAAGCGGCTGTTGCTATGAACATGGCATGGAGTGAGAGAGAGAGAGGGAGAGAGCGAGAGACCAAAAAATTCAAGATGTGGTATATTCAAGATGAGATAAGGAAAAGGATGCGAATATCTTCTGCTTTCAGATTTCCTTTTTGATGAAGAAGCCAAAGAAAGCTTAGAAGGAAGGGAAGAAGAGGAACGTAGTGAGCACTCACCTGATTCCAGTTGGGTGGATCCATATAGGCTGGAACCGACGAAAAAACCATGTTTGTTTCTTCTTCTTTTTCTTTGTTTCTTCTTCTTCTTCTTCTTCTTCTTCTTCTTCTTCTTCTTCTTCTTCTTCTTCTTCTTCTTCTTCTCCTCCTCCTCCTCCTTCTCCTTCTTCTTCTTCTTCTTCTCTTCCTCCTCCTCCTCCTTCTTCTTTCCCTATGACGATAGGGTTTGAGAGAAGGTGGATAATCAAATATCCATAAGTAGCAGCAGAGAGAAAGAGAGAGAGAGAGAGAGAGGAAAGGGAGGGCACTTATATTATATGTGGTAGGGTTGGCTGAACAGATGTGGGTGAAGAGGGAGTTTCTTAGCCTTGAAGGATCTAAGTGTTGATGAGAGGAGCACTGGACTCTTAAGGCTAGCTAGTGGTTTAGTTCAGAAACAGGAAAGAAGAAGAGGGTGGAAACCCTAATGGCATGATAATTTGGAAGGGACATGCTAAGATTCCAACTACTCTTGGTAGCCAAAATATTCTCCATCTACATCTACATGAACCAATGGAAAAGTTAGGCCATAGTGGTGTAAAATGACGAGATGGCCTCTCTCCCTCTCTCTCTCTCTCTCTCTCTCTCTCTCTCTACAGTTGTGATCTTGCATGTAGCTAAATGGATGGGTCTTTCCAAATGCCGTGTTGTGTATGGTACCTGAGCACAGTATCAATTTTATAGACATGCTGCTATAGGCCAAATCTGTGTTTCCTTTGGGGATCAAATAGTACATGAAGAAGCTTAAAAACCTATGTGATCGATGCACATCCATGTGAGAAAAAGAAACCTAGTGACTGTATCAGACACAGACTGGCAATAAAGGAAACATCAAGAAAACTAACTGCATCCAATGCATATATATATATATGCTGTGACCAATAATAGAAAAGATGATCCATATATTCAGCAAGCATATCTCCTCAAATCTACCTATGGATTCACTTGTTCTTGTCTATCGAGGTCAAGGCAAGTAGATCATTTTCCAATGGCTTATTATGTGTACTGAGTGTTTACTGGTCGATCAATCTGCTTGTAGGCTTTAATCCTTTGATAAGACATCAATCACATAGCCTCTCGATAAGCACATGCTGCAATTTGCTTGAATGCTTAGCTCGGATGCATACCAAGTGACAGGCAGCTTCAACCGTGCTTGCCTGCCTGCCTGCTTTGGATGCTGCTGCAGCAGAGAGATTGAAAGAACCACAGCTCATCCTACTTGTGATCTCTAATTAAGGAAGAAATAGATCGAGTGTCGGAGAGGTGGGTGGGCATTACGAGCTTCAAGAACATGATGCGTGGTGTGACCAAAAGCTTCTTCCAACCAAGGAAGGTCATGGTGAGCCACGTAAAAGGAAGGCGCAGTAGGACCCGTTGTCTTTGCCTCACACAGTTGTCGCCGTCAAGCTCCGGGGAGAAGGATGGGCAATACCACTCGTTTACGTCGTCGTCGTCGTCACGGTAGGACCAATGGCGGCTTGACATGTCGAGATCGCACTCTCTTTGCATGGAAGTGGTCTGCACTCCAATCATCTTCCACATTTATGATGGAGAGGTGGTGGTAATTGTTCGGATAGGACCGGATTTGTGTACGCATTGCAGCAGCATTAGTAGCGGTATCTCAACAACAGGAGGGTTTTGTTCAGTTGGGTTAGGAGATGCTTCCCTTAGATTTGTATTTAGTGTTAGCCGAATTACCACACAGAAATAGGAATTGATTTTTTTTATAAATATCTCATATGTTGGGAATTAATACAAAATGTGAAATTTTTTTTTTTCTTCAAAATTTATATAAGTGAATTTGTATCTAAATTTTGATACAATATTTTCACGTGAAGAAGAATATAATATTTTCGGTAGACAAGTGCCGATCGACTTAAATAGATCGTTTAACTTGTTAATTTAGTATCAAAATCTTGTTAAATCTTTTTGGAAAGATAAATAGTGACGACAGATGAGACTTAATCCATGATAATGCTACTAGCGATCGATAATCAATATTTTTGAACCCTCAAGTAATTTTATTATCGGATCAATATTTTTTTGTGTAAAAATATTTTATCAAATAAACTTTTTAAATCTTTAATACTTAATAAGCATATTTAATCTTACATTGATTTCTTATAAATGTTGTTTTTGGGCTTACCCCTAAAGGGTAAGATCGTGTGAGCTCATCCAAAATGAACAGATGATAAATAAATATTATATGTGCAAAAAATTATTATCTTTATTCTATTAAAGCATTCAACGAATACTTAAACCAAGTGAGAATTACGCTTTGGAAAGATAAGACATGGCTTCCTTTTTATCACCTCATTGTATGCTTTTGAAAAGAAAAAGAAGAGTCCTCCTATATGGGCCAACATATTTGCATAACTACTATGCCTTGGAGACTACCGATACAATTCATCGATGAACCACATGAGACTTTGATTGATGAACTACATGTCTCTTCAAAATGTATAAAGAAATTATCTTATTGTGAACGAACGAGATAGGGAGGAATTGTTCATATGTTAAGATATTAATTTTTTCCAACCTAAAAAGAGAATCTTTTGGTAAATTATCTTGATGAAGTGATGTGGATGGAACTTCTATCAATGGTTTCACGGGATTTAACCCTCGCTAATGAATGACGTACGATGATCAAACAAACATGTTGAGGTGAAAAGAAAGACCCAAATTTTGAGGTGCTTGAATAATTTATCTTGTGGAGTGATGAGATTTATATGTTTTTATATTGGAACTTAATAATAATAATAATAATAATAATAATAATAATAATAATAATAATAATAATAATAATAATTAAAAATAATAATAATAGTAATAATAATTAAAAATAATAAATGGACCCAAATTATAAAGAAAATTATGAAAATTTAAGCTTTGGGTGCAGAGGCTTTGGGTTTTCTAAATTTTTTTTTTAATATTTTAATTTTATCTCAAAGTATAAATTAATGAGGTGAATGCAAAGATAAATATAATCAAGGATATTGTTTTGAAGGTGATATGATCGACACTCTCGACTAATCAAAACTTGACACGGATATTGTTTTGAAGGTGATATGATCGACACTCTCGGTTAATAAAAACTTGACACATATAACATAGTTTGCTATACCACGATAATACGTCGAACTAAGATTGTCATTTTTTTTTAGGGAAAGACAATAATAAGAGGCAACATTATATTTCAGAAAAGTTATCACTATGGAGCTTTTCTCAACACTTGCCGGATATAAAATTTTAGTGGTAATTTTTACTTTTTTTTTTTTCCTTTTAGGCAAGTAAAAATAAAAGCCTTCGTCTTTACAATGGAACAGAAAGACTTGAGTGTTTAAATATTACATGGCAAACGAAAAAGAAAAAAAAACAGGAAATTTTGAAGAAAGGAAAACCTATGGACAAGAGGAGTGATTTGATTGAAGTGATAAGTTTTGGCACAATGGACCACATGATGAGTTGATGGGAGACAATTATAGTAGGCAACATGGAATGATCAACTAAAACTTTTGTCAAAGCTTGAAGGATGAACCCAACAAGGAAAGGTGTTTGCAAAGTGGTCTCCAGCTTCTTGATTCCTGTCATGCGTGTTGCAAATGTTTAACTTGCAACAAGAAGAAGGCATGTCTCTTGATGAAGCTTTAGGTTAAACAGGCAGTGAGGAAGAGCAGCAACACACACAGCAGTGTACCACTCACTCACTCACTCATTGGTGATCTGTCGAGCAGAATCACACCAAGCATTGAAATCTTTGACTCGAGAGTACAAAGAAGACAAGTGTGCTTGCGTTGGCATGGCATCTTCTTCGTAATCATCACAGCTGTGCTGCTGCCAAAGGTCGAGAGCCTGTCATCACATCATAGGAAGTAAAAAGGAGAACAAAGTGTGTTCCACCTACTACCACAAGGAGGAAGGATGTTGAGCTCCTGTTATCACTGTTGTCTCGAGGAACTTACATGCATTACTTGCTCCAGCCAAGCCATTCCCACCTTCACTCTGTACCAAGACCAAAGCAACAGTCTTCTTCCATCTTTCAAAGGTACAATCCAAGAGACATCTGGTAGCATTGGTTTTACCCGGATGTGAAGGAAGGAACAGGAAGGCCACACCACACCTACTACGGGAGTAATAATTACAAGCTCAGGCAGTCATGGAGAAGATGCAACTTTCTGATGCCTTGCCATGGCAGCAGGCTAATCCTACGTATCACCAGCAAATGGAGAACAGCTAAAGAGATGTGTCTGATGACTTCAGCAATCATACATACCACAGCTCCCTCATCAAGCCCAAGGGTTTTTAAAGCGAAGGCAACGATGCGGAGTCGGCGTAGAGAATCTAGATTACAGAAAGAAGTGATATGGATGATACTGCGCATTCACTTCTTGTGCAGTGGTCCGACGCTTGAAGGAGAAGAAGGTAATGGGATCACCTGCGAGGCACTTGAATGGTGCTGCTGCCCTCTGTCTCTATTCTTTTCTATGACTATGGTGATGAAAGTTGCATCCTTCTCTTCTGGGCCTCTGGAATGTGAGGTAGAAGGATGAGAAGCACTTCTGTGAGCCTGCCTTGCTTCTTCCGTCAGCTTCTTCCTGTGTAGCTTTTCCTCGGCATCCTTCAGAAACTTGAATGTCGGAGGTGGTGACGACCACATCCTGACGAAATCTTCTTCCTTGGAGGATTCAAAGAGGGGGTTGAATCCACTTTGTCTGTAGCAATCTAGAGGAGTCAGAGGCGGGGTGAATAAAGAAGGGGAAGAGAGAGGTGTCAAGAATGGGGTATCCGAAGAGAGAAACAAATCGCTCAAGCTCTTCCCTCTGGAACCTCTCCTGTTCCTTCCCTCTCCGCACCACCCATCCTCCGACTCCAAATCCTCCATTGTTTCCTCTTTGATGGTGAAGAGGAACCTCGGAGGGCCTGCAAGTCTGTGCAGCCGCATGAGCTCTGCCTCTATGGTGTCCTCTCCTTCGAATGGCTTCAGCGGAAGATCTTTGCCATCAGAACATGTAGCGACATCCACCGAAGCGGAGATCTCCTGGGGGTTGAGGGCTGTGGAACTCAGGGAAGATGGCTGGTTCCAGCAGAAGAGATGAAGAAGCTCTTTGGCCGGGCTTCCGTAGTTGTCCTCAATGTCTCTGCGGGCTCTCTTCTTCCACCAAAACATGTAGTATACCTCTGCAACAAGAGCCAGGAACAGGCAGCCTGAAACAAGGCTTAAACCGATGCCCAAACTGCTTAAATGTCCCATCTTTTCCCTCAAAATCACATGCCCACCAACACTTAAGACCGATAGCAGAGCTTCTCAATGATCACTACCCTCTCTCTGGTAGCCAAAACAAACCAAAGAGAAGAAACGACACCGAGAAGAATCTAAATGACCAAGAGGACGAAGAACAAAAAGATGGCAAGAAAAGGACAGCTAATTAATCACTGGCCATCGCTGAGACGAACTTAACGCTAATTGATCACCCGCACCAAATTCCAGCTTCCTTCCATAACCAAACCAAGGACCACAAATCTAGTAGGACTTTTCCAGGAAAAAACACACCTTTACCATCAAAAATCGCACTTTGGGAGCAAAACCAAAATCACAAGCTCCGGACACCGGACACCAGCCTCCAGCCTCACCCAACACAAATGCTTCCATCAAGTAACCAAAGATCAAGGTTTCGTATGTCACAAAAATCACATTTTGAGGAGACCCACGACTCCAAGAAAACTAACCAGCTTTTCTTTCCCGAAAGCTTATTACATGCAGGAGCTCCGCAATCCACCGCTGGCGCCCAAATCTCTCTGCTTTGTGCTCCAAAACAAGGAACCCTCCACGGTGAGTCAAAACTCCCCGCTCCCTGTGGCTCCTCCGCGAGCTGGTTTGGTCGATGAGGTCGCGCTGTTCCCGAGAGCGGCTCACATGGGGGTGGCTAGTGAAAGCGCCGTGTCGTTTCTCCAACGCCAACGGATCGAAATATTCGGACACGGCAGAGAGGAAAAAAAAGGAGAAGAAAGACCATGGGATCGCTCTCGGTCTTCTCCTGCAATAAAGAAGGAGCGTTTGCGTTGCCTCGCGGTCCTATGTTATTCCCCTGTGTGCTACGTCTTTCTTTCGTTCTGGACCGTCCAATTATTGATTTTAGTGATATTCCGTTTTGTCTTGTCCTGCGGATTCCTTGTAATAGCTTGTTCCGCGAGGCGGGATTTAGGCACGTGTGCTGCCCCAAATACGCCGACCGGTGGATCTGACGGCGAATTGATGTCGAATAAGGAAATGCCATGTGTCATCTGCTTTTGAACATGCTGGCCTAACGGTCGTCTCCCTCGTAGGTCAGGTTGGACATCCGCAGCCATGATCTGATGATTTGAAGAGAGGTGCTTCCGTCACACTCAGCATTTTACAGAATATTTTAAATGACAAATATTATAATTCCAAGATATAAGTGATAGAATAACGTTGATGATTTCATTATAGAATTATAGGGTAATTACGACGTCTGCAATGTTAGAATTTTTCTGCGATAGAAATTAAATTTTCTTTTAGGGATGGTCTTAATAAGATTAATGCTTTCTGATGAATCCATTATGAGTTCCTTTTTTCTTTTCCACCTAATGGTCCAAGATGAATATATATGTATGCATATATACATATATACAGAAGCCGCCGCTGTCTCCCGTTGCTGAGGTAAGGTTAAGAAAACAAAACATACCGGACACAATGTCCAAAAATATTTTTTTTAGCGCTACCAGCGTCCGATTGGCATGCGGTAACCACACTTGCAGGTGACAGCATCAATTTTCTTTCTCGGAATCCGAACACCTTCGACTCCTTCAGCCTCATTGGTTCCCGCTCGCCCTGCGCAGCTACCGTCGATGCCACCGTGTGGGAATCTTGAAGCGCCACCATGGGCCAGTTTATAATGATGACAACCATCACTTTAAAGGGCGACATGGCAGAGGACTCTGTGGGCTCATTTGTAATAGATGCACGCACAATGGCAGCAAGAGCAGGTGCTCGACATCTGAGTTGATTTGCAGTTATCACGATTCCTGTAGGTGGGGTCTTGGTGGTATAATGGTTGGTAAGATATTTGGGTAATGTACATTATGTTATAAATTGTTCAAATTAAAAAGAAAAAAATTTCTTTTCAAAAGATTTATTTGAAAAAAATAGTTTCTTTTTATAGTTATTCTTTAAAGGTGGTACCTTTTATGAAAATATCTATAAATATATATTTGAGAGTAAATTATGAAAACATCTCTTTCATACTCTTCTTTTTTGTTCTTGATTAAATTAGATATTCTTTAATTTTTTTTAAAAAATTTTTTATTGTTTGCTCAATACATATCTTCTAAAGGCTTGTTATATCCATTAAAACTATTTACATCAGACCCATAATAATCTTATTGAGAAGAGGGTACAGATATCATTTTTAGAAAAGTGTTTATACACGTTTCAAGCCTAAATATTTCATATAGTATTCTTGATCTTGTGTTTATTATTTGTTTCAATAATGTTTTTCATCATCTTCTTTATCGTATTTTTCAACAATCTAAAAATGATATTTCGTGAGTTTATACAAATTCACCATGGAGGCCACAAATACCATCAAATTATTAAATCAAGATTTTGTTCATTTAGATCATTTTGATAGAACGAATTTTACCCATTGGCAAGACAAGATGAAGTTCATGTTGACTGCTTTGAAAATCTTCTATGTGCTTGATCCAAATCTTCAACCAATTCCTAATCCAACCGACGATGACACCGATGAAGTCAAGGCTGAACAAAAGAAGAGAATTGAAGATGAAGTCATGTGTAGATGACACATTCTCAATGCTCTTTCGGACTGGCTTTATGATCTTTATACGATGGAACCATATGCAAAAGCAATTTAGAATGCTTTAGAATTCAAGTATCATGCCATGCCGAGGAGGAAGGTACAAAGAAATTTTTAATTTCTAAATTTTTTTATTACAAGTTTGTGGATTACAAGCCAATCTTGGTACAAGTGCATGAGTTACAGGTCATTGTTAATCAATTGAAGGCTAAAAAAATCAAACTTTCTGAGGGGCTATAATAGCCAAGTTGCCTTCATCTTGGAAAGGGTATAGGAAGAAGATTTTGCATGACTCCAAGGATATCACTTTGGAGTAAATTCAAAAACATCTTCGAATTGAGGAGAATCAAGGATGAGAGATAAGAGTGAGAACTCTTTTGGTAATATAAAAGCAAATACTATGAATCAGCCTAAGAATTCCAACAAAGACAAGCAAAATAAGGAGAATCATTTTGACCCCAAAAAGGATCAAAGAAAATTTAAGAAGCCAAAGAGTGGAGGCTATTTTATTTATGAAAAACCTAATTATTTTGCTAGGGATTACAGATTTAAGAAAAGCTAGAAATCGAAAGTCAACTCCGTTGAGGGAGATGATAATATAATCGCTACGGTGAGCGAAGTGAATACCATATTTGGTAAGGTTTCTAGTTAGTGGTATGATACTTGTGCTACCATCCATGTTTGCTATGATAAGACACTCTTCAAGACTTATAAATAAGTCATAGAAGGGCAAGAGATTCAAATGAGAAATGAAGTTCGTTCTAAGGTGATTGGCAAGGGAAATGTGGAACTCACTTTCACTTTGGGAAAGAAAGTCACTCTTACTATTGTTCTTCATATATCAAATATGAGTAGAAATTTAGTGAATGAGAATCTCCTTGGCAAACCTAGAATTAAATCTGTATTTGAATCCAAGAAGTTAATTTTATCCCGTAATAGAACTTTTGTTAGAAAAGACTATTCCGCTTAGGGAATAGTCAAATTATCTCTTGTTGATAATGTTTTAAATTTAATAAAGATGTTACTTCTATTTATATTATTGATTCTTATTCATTATGGTATGATAGATTAGCACATATTTGAACTAGCACCATTAAAAAAATAATTAAGTATGACTTAATAAATTATTATTTTGATTATCTTAATAAATATAAAATTTGTGTTAAATCAAAGATAATGAAGAAACCCTTCAAAAGTGTTGAAAGGTATACTAATTTATTAGACTTAATATATTCTAATATATGTGAATTAAATGACATATTAACAAGATGAGGTAATAGATATTTCATTACTTTTATAGATGATATGTCTAGGTTCATATATGTTTATTTATTGAAACATAAAAGTGATGCTTTTATTGCTTTTAAGGCATATAAAGCAGAAGTTGAAAATCAATTAGGTAAGAAAATTAAAGTTTTAAGAATTAATAGAGGATGAGAATACTTTCCTAATGAATTTAACTTATTTTGTGAACAAAACATGGCATAATTCATGAATGTTCAGCACCTATAACACCTGAGCAAAATGGATTAGCAGAAAGAAAAAAATAGAATATATCTAGAGATGATTAATGTTATATTGTTGCATGCTAAATTATCTTACAATTTGTGGGTAGAAGCTTTATTGACTGTATATCATATCTTAAATAGAATTTCTTCTAAAAAGAATAAGATCTCTCTATATGAGTTATGGAAAGAAAGACAACCTAACATTGGTTATTTTAAAGTGTGGGGGTGTCTTGCATATTGTAAGAATAATGATCCTCAAAGGACAAAGTTGAGACCTAGAGGAATCGAATATGCATTTATAGGTTATGCCTCAAATAGCAAAGCTTATAAACTTCTTAATTTGGAGTCCAATATCATAATAGAATCTTAAGATGTAGAGTTCTTTGAACACTTAATGACTTCAAGTAATAATGTTTATCCTCCAACTAGTGAAGAGTCACTAGTGGAGATATCTCCAAAGGTTGGTGAGCAACCTAATATTCTTTTGATTGAACATCAATCAAGTTCACAAGAGGTTGGAGAGTAATCTCATGAATTAAAGAGAAGCACTCGTGTACGGAAAACAAAAATATTAAGATAGGATGAGATTGATTCTCAAAGTATTTTCTTTTACCTTGTAGAATGAACTAATGAGAGAGTCTTAAAAATAATTCCTCTTGTTTTATAAGTGAAAGATGATCTTAAAACGTTTAAAGAAGCTATGGCCTCTCGTGATGCTGCTTTTTGGAAAGATACTATTAATGATGAGATGAATTTTATTATGTCAGACCACACTTGAGAACTTATCGATTTACCTTTTGCCTCTAAACCAATTAGTTGTAAATGAATATTTTGTAGGAATTATCATACAAATGGTACTCTCCAAATATTCAAAGCAAGATTAGTTGCTAAAGGATTTCGACAAAAGGAAGGAATAGATTATTTTGACACATATGCTCCTGTGGCTAGGATCATATCTATTAGAATTATTTTTGCTTTAGCATCAATTTTTGATCTTTATGTTCATCAAATGGATGTCAAAAAGGTATTTCTAAATGGAGACCTCGATGAGGAGGTATATATAGAACAACCCGAAGGTTTTATTCTACCGGGAAATGAACATAAACTGTGTAAACTTATTAAGTCATTGTATTGTTTAAAGCAAGCTCGAAAACAGTGGCATGAGAAATTTGATGCAACAATTCTTTCTAATGGATTTGTTCATAATTTTACAGATAAATATATTTATCTCAAAACTTATAATGACTATATGGTGATAGTTTACCTTCATGTTGATGATATGCTAATAGTGAGCAACAACATGGAAGGTATTGTAGTAACAAAGAGGTTTCTATCTTTAACATTTAAGATAAAAGATCTTGGGCAAATTGATACCATGCTAGGTGTCAAGGTAAAAAGAAATAGTGGGGGATATGTTTTGAGTCAAACTCATTACATAGAGAAAGTACCGAAGAAATTCAGTCACTTAAAAAATCAAAGAATCAAATACCCCGTTTGACCCAAGTATCAAATTAGTCAAGAATGTTGGAAGAACAGTGGTTTAATTAGAATATTCAAGTGCTATAGGAAGTCTTATGTATGTAACGCAGTGCACAAGACCTGATATATCATTTGCAGTTAGTAAATTGAGTAGATTTACTAGCAATTCAAGTGTAGAGCATTGGAAGGCTATCGAAAGAG